CACTGAAGCATGCAGGTCTAATTCAAAAACATATCAATTCAGAGAAAGGAACCTTTCTGATTCTGGAGGCTGTGAATCAAATCTGTAACACACTAGCTGGCACTAAATTAAGATTGATGTTTCTTATCATAATTAACCATCATGCAGAGACACAAAAATATATTAAATTTACAAAATAATATGAAAAATTCAGCTCTGTCAGTAAGAACTAATGACACTTTTGAACAAGCATCAGTAGGACTAAATCTTACAACGGTACTGCAGATGTCAACCCAGACCTGCAAGATCTGACTGATTCCAAGGCACTCAAGAAGAACTGCACAGTGCAGACCAGAAAATCACACTCGTTTTCAGACCAATAACCCTTCAAGTATTTTGCAAAATATTTTCAGATTCAGCACTTAAAACCCAGCCTAAACTGCATTAATTATTTCAGTTCTGCTAGCTGAAAAAACCCCAAGCCTTTCCTCTATGAATCATTTTCCTCTTAGTTAATTTAGAGCTTTAACTCATTGGAACACAGGGGACTTTTCCTATAGATGAAATAGGACACAGCCTGCTCTGTAAATTGCTACCAGGTGCATGCTACTAACCTGGGGAAATGTTCACAATTAGTCTGCCTTGCTTGACTTCACATGGAAAACAACACAAAAGTTCAGTATAAATTAACAAGAGCTGATTTGACACAGGGGCCAATTCTGCCACCTTCATTCCACTTGAGAAGAAACCCAAGCTGCAACTAACCAAATTAAAATCAGGGAATTAGCCACTAATACTGTGAGATGGAACTGGACTGACAGGTTTTCATGTCACAAAATGCATCATGTGCACCATCAGTCTTGTCCTGCACAAAACACGTGCCCAGCTGCCCTGGCATGGAAATTCAAAGTGCTGATGCATGGATACCAAATATCATCTTGCTAATGCCCATGGGTGAGAGCTGTGGAGCTCCTGGGGCTCCTGCTCACCCAGATGGGAGCTGCTACTTGCTCTTCCTCTAAAGAACTTTTCTCTGTGTGATTTGGTGGGAGACTCAATCTTTTGACCTCCAAACACAAGTAGCATTAAGAGCAGAAAAAGACTCATCCCTATTTTCATCCATCATAACAAACTCAAGAAGACACTTGCTTTACTCCTCTGATCCTGCATTATAGCCCCTTCCCAGATAAAAAAATTTGGAAACAGTTAATAAATGAGACCTTTAATAAGGTCTGGTTTGTCTAATAACAATTAACAACAGGTTACTCTGGAATTATATGCAGAACATGCTGATAATTAACATGTAATACATAAAGGCAAATAACTGAATACTCTGGGATCAGGACCCTAAGTGTGGCTGAAACATGAACTATTAAATTTATATTCATTATGACTTGACTGTCATACTGAGTTCACTGAGCAACAACCCCCACCAGGATTTCACTGCTCAATATATTTTTATTGCTGTGCAGCTTGAGCAATATTTTTGATCAATTCCTACAATCAACGTCTGAAGGCAGCGGGCCATTATTTTTCTGCTGAAAAAAAACCCAACTTCTTTAAACCTTGTTAATCAATATGCCCAGCTTTAGTTACTGCACAGCTCACACAGCCAGCTGTGTCGATAGCAGGAGCTGGAAAGAAACTTTCAGAGCCTCTTGGTTGGCCCTGCCACCAATGTGTAACTCCTCATCAGGAGCAAATTCAGGTTAATTGCAGCAGGGTGAATTATGAGGTGCCCTCTGGTAGCTGATGCTTCTTTTCATTAGCCTGGGGACTCCAAACCCCTGGTCCTCCCTGAGATGCTCTGCTGGTAACACATCCCTGTGCAGAGCAGTGGCAGGTAAATTGTTTACTCCTGCTTGAGACGGTGGAAAATTACCGACGTGCCTTCTCAGGGTCACCTCGCTTGCTGGGAAAGTTTGGATAATTAGAGACAAGACTGTTTGCCCTTCTCCATTCTCCTGGCAGCTGCAGATGAGGCGTGTTCAGATGTCTGTGTCTCCTTCTCCCCAGTGCAGCAGCACCCCAGCTCTGCAGGTGGAGTGCTCCCTGCTACAGCCAGGACCTGCAAAGGGTGGGGCACTGCCCTCCAGAAGAGGAGGTAACTAATGAAGGGAACATAATGGGGCACCTGGATATCTCCATTAATGAGTCCTAAAAACTGCAGTCTGGAGTCATTCTCTTACTGTTAGTGTTTCTGTAATGCTGATTACTGCAGCGGCTGGGCGTTTAATTACCCAAAAATGAGAACAAAATCAAACTGGGGAGAACAAAATGTCACAGTGCTGCAAGTTGCCCTGTCAATCACCAGGCTCCACCTGATTTCAAGCACAGGAAACACCTAAGCTGGCACTGTTGAGGCAGGAAAAACGCTGCTGAATGAAAGGATGGTTGTTCCATGAAGGTGGAAAAAAAGAAAAGCACCTGGATGGGATGCCAAATCTCCTGAGAACGCTGTTTCTGCAGGCAGGGAGGATGGATGGGCCAACTCACTGTGGCTGTGAGGCAAGGAAACGTGATATGGGAAGGTGGACAAAGGGAGATTGTGGAGTGATTCATGCCAGGACCTGAGGGAGAATGAAGCCCTGCACTTTCGATGGAAGCGTGAATGTCAGAGACAGGACTTGATGGTTCTTAACCTGTTTTAATGCCCCTACCTGACTTGCTTTTCTAGTATATTCCACATTTAAAAATACACCACATCTGCAGGTGAGCATGCTTGAAAAATAACCAAAACACCCCTTCTCCCTCTCTCCTTCTTTAAGCAAGGCAAACACACTTTTGTACACTATTATTTCCTCTGCAAGGAGCAGAGGCTGCAGACAGCATGTCCTGTTCATCCTGCTCTCACAGAGGAAATTAATGAGGACAAGTTTCCAAAGGATATTTATTGCTTTTCCTCTACTCTAGATCAATGCTGGGGGTGGAGGAGATGGACAGACTGGCAGCACAATCCTGCAGGTTGACTTTCCCTGGGAAAACCAGTGTGGCAGCAGGTTCTTGGAGCGTTCAAAGCAGGTACTGAGGTTTTCCCATTAGTCAGTTTTTTTAAACCTGGTCTCCCCCTTAGGCAGATTCATGTTCCCTGTGCTTGAACTTCTCAAAGCAGAGCAGATCAATAAAAATTATGTTTTTCATTGTCTGATCTGCAGTTGCTGTTTCAGGTGCCACAGCTGCCACTAGAAATGTCTTTGCGGCTACATCTGGGAGAGATTTTCTTCCACAAGCGAATTTTTAGGACACAATATCCCATAATTACTCAGTTCACTATTCTGCTAAATAATCTGTCAGAGCATGAAAAAACTCTTCAGTGTGTTCAAGGGCTAGAGGAAGCAGTTTATCTTGCTTTAAGTTACATTTACACGTTCTGCCAATCCCTGTAGTACATAATGAACACGGCTCTGAGTCATGGAAGAATTGAAGGCACTTTTGGTAATTAAAGGTAATTCATTTAACCAGATATGGTTAAAAGTCTCTCTGGTCAAATGGGGATTAACACAGATACTAAATTTAATACACCTGAAAGGCAGAAACAAAAAGTTCTTACTGTCATGTCATTCCAAACACACAATATTGATTAATAAATGCAAACAAGTATCATTTTGCATGTAATGTATTTAGTGATAGCTCTCAGTTCATTAAATTACATATTTATTGGTTTCATTGTAAAAAACATGTATTTTTTTAAATACTGCTGCTTCCTCTTAAGCCTTTTGGGGTTTTTTTTTAAATAATTGTAAGCAAATATAAGATATCATCACTGAGATTAATTATAAAAATGAAATGGTCCAGTGAGCTGGAATACAAGGAATAATTTCCCATGGAAATTGTTGATTGAGGAGTTTTCATCATAGTGATGAAATGGATCAATATGGAAATAGATTCATTGTTACATTAAACCTATTTCAAAACCTTAGTGTTCCCTGGAATACAGAAAGGTGCAGCAGGTATTTCCAAAGAGCATGGATGTGTGTTTTCCTGAGCTCATACTCCAGCTGGGAGAATCCAAGTGATCCCTGGGGTATGCAGCCCCATCCTCACACTGCCCAGTCCCACCCCAGTCCCAGGCACACACATATTTTTAGGGAAACACTTCAGGAGCCCTCTGGAACCATCCTTAGAGGGAATAAGCAGCACAGAGCTTCAGTGGGGTCTGACAGCTGCCCTAGGACCAGGAATCCACTGGATCTGCCCTCAGGGATCAGCTCCAGCTTAAGAGAAGACAAATATCCAGCAGGATATGAGTTCTGCAATAACTGGGTTTATTTTAAACAGGCAAGGCAGGCTCTGGGTAGTTTTTCTGCAGAACCACCAGTTTTTCCTCCACATAGTTCTGCCTCTGAGGAGGATTCCTGCCTCCACTCAGGTGCTGACCACTCAGTCCCACCACATACCACACCTTTCCCAATCCCATACAAGCTAACAAGGGTCTGCACTGGGCTCTTTCCCAAAACCAGACAGCACAATGGAGTGACAAGGTGATTTACCTAAATTACTCAGATTTCTGACTGTGGTTTGACACATGGTGTAACCCCATCCCTTGCAAAATCAGATCAGACTCTTTATTTTCTGTAAAGCCAGCTCACTACAAGCAAAAATTTTGCCTCCTTGCAGAGACTGTTTTCAGGTGTTATTCTGGGCTAGAACACAGACAAATGAAAATCCCTGTGCGAAGGTTAATGCAGAAATCCTCCTGAGGGAGCAACATAAAACAATGTGCATTTCCGCCAGCAGGCCGTTTAAAAGATGTCATGCACACAGATGCCATTCTCTTCTGCTCAGAGACACTGTAGCTGTGACCAGTGAGCCATACTGGGCAGAAAGAGCACTCCCAATGGCACAGAAGATGAAGGATTTGCTTCTACAGAAGGATCTCTGGTGACACAGCATCTCCATCTTATGACAGCTGCTGGCCTCCCACAGTCCCAGCTGATGTTGGGCAAGACTCGTTAATATTCAAACCTCAGCAGAAGGAAAACACACACAAACCACACACACCCCAGCAGAGAGCACAGTACCTAAAATTGCCACCACCTCGTCGTCCTGGATGACTTCCAAGGATCCTGAGACCACAAAGCAGAGAGCATCCACGCTTTCCCCAGCGTGGTAGATGAGGTCCCCTGGGGCACAATGGATGGTCTGGAACTCCACGGCCAGGGCTCGCAGGCAGCCGTCGCTGGCCAGCCGGAAGGCAGGGTGCTCGTTGAAAACTTTCCGGTTCAGGTGCACACAGATGTCTGCTCTCATGTCCTTTGGGCAGATGGAGAGGACCTGGATAAATGAAAAGATGGGAAAGCAATCAGATGGGGATGTGACACCAAGGCCACCGGTGTATGAAATAACCGGATGGATGGGTCTGAAGATGTGCCTGGTGAGGGGGGATCTTGAAATCCACCCATCCATCCATCCATCCATCCATCCATCCATCCATCCATCATCCATCCATCCATCCTCCATCCATCCTCCATCCATCCATCCATCCATCCATCCTCCATCCATCCATCCATCCATCATCCATCCATCCATCCATCCATCCATCCATCCATCCAGTTTCTGGTGGGAGTTTTATCCTGATTTGGGGTAGTCTTTTTCTACCCATCTACTTCTTTCACTTTGTCTGGAAGGGTGATGTGGAAGACAGGACTGTTCCATTGCACTCTGCTCACTCCTAACAGTTTTCACACTCATTTTCCAGAATTTCTGGTGGAAAGGCTCTGTCCTGTCTGTGGGTGTCCCTCCAGACCTGGTGCCCAG